CCGCCTCGGGCCCGGGGGGAGCCGCCGCCGCCACCGGCCCCGCCCTCCTGTCCGCCAGCCCCGCTGCCGCCGCTCCGCCCGCCAAAGGCAAGTAAAGGACGCGTTGGGGGGTCCCCCCCCCACCTATGTCAATTTTTCTCTTGAGAAAATAAATGTTTCCATGTTTGCCTTACTGCCTCTTAGAAAGAGAATATATTTAGGTCATACTGGCTGCTTTTTCTTTGGGAGCAAATGTTAGTTCAATGACATACGGCTCTAGAGTCACTTACATATTAGCCAATGTACAGGGTTGGTTGGTAAGCAGATGAAGCACAAAAATATACCTGAAGCCGGTTGGGGGTTTGGAGCTTTGTAGCCATGATGGTCCAGGAAATACATGAGAAGCAGGGATTGTTTTGTGCCATCATTTATTTAACCAGCTTTATAGTTGGGAGAGATGTTAGAATATATTTACATTTGTGCTCTTACACGGTGGTTGGTAACCTGTGGCCTGTGGGTCAGGTTGAGCCTGGATATTGGCTGCAGTTTGCTGGCAGGTTGCAAGCATGGTGGCAGAGGCAGCCAAGCGGGAAGCTCTTGGCCTGTCTCAGATTGAGGCCTTATTTTGGCCCACTGTTCTGAAAAGGCTGCTGACCCCTGCTTTAATAACCAGTATTTTAGACGATATCTGCAACCAAGCACAAAGCATGAGTACCTCCGTCTTACTCTAAGCTCTCGACATGCGTTACAGTTCCAGAGTGAGCATTAGCCACCGCTTGCTCAGCCTTTCAGTTTTTCTCATGTACATTTTCTTGTGTACCTGTCACTTGCAGTTGGAGGTATTGCTGTAGAAGATCAGCCAGATGTGAGCGCAGTGTTGTCTGCCTACAATCAGCAGGGAGACCCAGCACTGTATGAGGAATACTACAGCGGACTGAAACACTTCATTGAGTGCTCCCTAGACTGTCACCGGGCCGAATTATCGCAGTTGTTTTATCCGCTTTTTGTGCACATGTATTTGGAATTGGTCTACAATCAACATGAGAGTGAAGCAAAGTCTTTCTTTGAGAAGTAAGGCATTTACATTCCTGAGTTTGCATTCTGTTTATTATCTTTACCAATTTAACTAAACAAGAGAGAACTTTATTAGCAAAAGGAAGGTGGGGAATGGAAAAAAAGCCCTGTAATTGTGGTTATTGTGGAGTTTTGGGAACTACCTTACATGTCTTATGTTTAACATGACTAAAACATGTCTAGATAAGAGTAATGGGCCATTTATAAATCATTGCACTAATATAACTATTGAAGCAGGGAACTTAATGTAGTCAGGAGTCTTGCTTTGTGTCCTGAATTTCTAAACATGCTATCTTCATATGTTAAGAGATATTAAAATGACACAGTAGCTCTTCACTGAAAATCAAACACAAGGGAAAAGGATAAGTTTTTGTAAGCTTCCATCCCAGGTTTCAAATTTCTCTACAAGGAATGAAAAAGTAACTTAATTTGTCATTTTTTGCCAGACCTCTTGAAGTCTAATTCATCTTTTGGTTTAGAATCATGGAGACGTTGGGCTGGAAGGGACCTCCAGAAGTCATCTAGTCCAACCCCCTGCCTGAGGCAGGATCATCCCTATCCCTTGGTTTAGACCAAGCATGAAATAATGCAGCCCCAAGGCATCACTTTTCTCAGAAAACTATGATAAGTAAAAATAGTTTTGCACACATTGGTGAAATATTCCTATCCATGAGTGTTTTAATGTTATCAGTAAATATAAAATGCATTGCATCTCCAGGCTTAGGTTAATTTTGTTGGCACTGAATATTAATGATATCAATACATTTACAATTGGAAAATGTTAAAAGGCATATTTTGTGAAAATGCTTACTCCAGTTTGAAAACTATGCTGAAATGATTAATCATTTTAGTAACGATGACCTTTCAGTCCAGTGTAACATGTAATACATTGGGCTGATGATTTGCAGTAATTAAATATGTTATAGCATGGTTTGGAATGGATGTTATTCTCAGTGATCAGGCCAACAATATTAGTAATAACACTTTGTCTACCTAAAAATCTCCTTACAGTTCTACTTTGGTCATATACCTTTCACATGTTGTATTATAACTGTTGGGTAGTGTTGTGTGTGCTGCATACAGTTGCACTTTAGCTGTAACATGATCTCATATGTAGTTGTTAAGTACACTGGAGTACCTAACAATGAGGTACTAATAGAGATATCAGAATTCTTGGAGATGTGATATCTTTTATTAGACCAACTAGATAGTTGCAAAAAAATTAATCTAGTTGGTTTAATAAAAGATATCATCTCCCCAAGAGTTCTGATTACTTTTTGCCTTACAGACCAACATGGCTACAACCTGTATTCCTGAAATATAGGGATATGTAATTGCTTTTCGGGGAGTATAAGATCCATGAGTGTGATTTTATGACTATAACAAATGGTACTTCATGTTTTAAACTAAAACTGTATTTCAATAGGTTTCATGGAGATCAGGAGTGTTATTACCAAGATGACCTGCGTGTATTATCCAGCTTAACCAAAAAGGAACACATGAAAGGGAATGAAACCATGCTGGATTTCCGAACAAGCAAATTTGTGCTGCGCATTTCCCGTGACTCTTACCAGCTCTTGAAGAGACACTTGCAGGAAAAGCAGAACAATCAGATCTGGAACATTGTTCAGGAGCATCTCTACATTGACATCTTTGATGGAATGCCCCGCAGCAAACAGCAGATAGATGCTATGGTGGGAAGCTTGGCTGGAGAGGCAAAACGAGAGGCAAATAAAGCAAAGGTATGAGGCAAATCCTCTCACACTATTAAGCGATTGTAGCTTGTAGAGAAATTTGTCAGTTGCCTTAGTAGAGCAAGCAGTCTTGGATTCTGATTATGAATAGCCTAACTGACAACATACTTGGGACAATAATGGTAAAGGTTGACACACTTATCCCCTGCACAGAAATGAAGATAGGTAACCATTTCTAACTGGTCTCTGAAGAACCTCTCAGGCCACTGAAAGAGACAGGTTTATTTAGTGGACTGAATGCAGGGCAGACCCCTTCACTTGTTCAAAAAAGATAGTTTGCTCATCTCCAGTAGTTGTTATGAAAATGTACTATTTGTATACTGTCGTAGCATTCTCAAAATATCAAGAGTAATATATAGATACTATACCTCAACCATAGGGATTCAAAGGGATGTTGTGAGGGAAATTGGGGTGATCAGCATCTATCAACATTGTTATTTGTGAGAGTTGAAGACTGCATACGAGTCCAGAGGAAAGCCATGTGCATGATCAGAGGTCAGGAAAACAGACTGTACGATGAGAGGCTGAGAGCTATGGGACTCTTCAGCCTGGAAAAACGCAGGCTCGGGGTGATCTGGTGGCCACCTATAAGTTCATTGGGGTGCTCACCAGGATCTGAGGGAATGTCTGTTCACCAGAGTGCCCCAAGGGATGACAAGGTCAAATGGACACAAACTCATAGTTGGTAGGGTTGGAAGGGACCTGAGCAGATCATCTAGTCTGACCCCTGGCCATGGCAGGAAAGAGTACTGGGGTCAGACGACCCCGGCTGGGTGATTGTCCAGCCTTGTCTTAAAGCCCCGCAGGGTAGGAGCCAGCACCACTTCTCTTGGAAGTTAGTTCCAGATCCTAGCCACCCTGACAGTGAAGTAGCACCTCCTGATGTCTAATCTGAATCTACCGTCTGGCAGCTTGTGACTGTTATTTCTAGTTACCCCTGGTAGTGCTCAGGGGAACAGGGACTCCCCCAATGCCTGCTGGTCCCCTCTGACTAGTTTGTAACAGGCCACTAGATCCCCCCTCAGCCTTCTCTTGTGGAGGCTGAACAGGTTCAGGTACCATCGCGCCTCCTCGTAGGGCCTGTCCTGTTGCCCCCTGACCATGTGAGTGGCCCTCCTCTGGACCCTATCCATATTGTCCACATCCCTCTTAAAGTGCGGCGCCCAGAACTGGATGCAGTACTCCAGCTGCGGCCTGACCAGTGTCGCATAGAGGGGGAGGATCACCTCCCTGGACCTGCTTGAGATGCATCTGTGGATGCATGACAAGGTGTGGTTGGCCTTCCTGACTGCATCCCCACACTGCCGGCCCATGTTCATCTTGGCATCAATGACGACTCCAAAATCCTTTTCTG